CATTCATTTTCTAAATTTTAATTTCATTTCCGAAAGTATACATTCATTTTCTAAATTTCACATTCAGTTTCGAAATTTTAGTATCACGTTCGAAATTCTACATATGTTACACATCTAGGTGATATTTTTTTCCACACATGAAAGTTCTGTATAGTTGTTTTGATTGTTTGAAATTTTACACCCAGCTTCAAAATTTTAGTTTCGTGTTCGAAATTCTAATATTTCCATATGTAGCTGATATTTTTTTCACACATGGAAGTTCTGTGTTTTGATTGGAAGTTTGGGTGTGTTTAATGTATAGCAAAATGTGTGTACAATGGACTTTATTTTAAACGCTATGCCCCCAATCTAACCCATCAAGTTGGTTCGAATAGTCCGTGAACGGTTTCACACTTTTCCCTTTGTTCGATGGGGGAAATTGAATCCCTTGACAATCTCGGGCTTCCTTGCTAAGGACGTCGTTTTCGTGTCATCGATCTCTTGGTGACATTCTTGAAAACGAGAAGGTGGGCGATGTAACATGTAAGAGCACCTAACAGGAAATTTATCCTGGTTTATCAGTCCCTGTGAGGATCTCTCTTTATCTTTCGTTACTTCTTTTTGTCTTTCCGCTATTACATTTCGGATTGATCTTTCATATAAATATTTTCAAGAGACGTTGTAAAAAATAAATATATCAAAGACAAAAATGTTGTAACAAATAAATGTATCACAGACAAAACTGTCGTAATACATAAATATATTCAAGACGAATAGGTAGTGAAAGATTTGAACAGACAAATAAATAAATTCAAGACAAAAAGGTAGTGAAAGATTTAAACAGACAAATAAATAAGTTCAAGACAAAAAGGTAGTGAAAGATTTAAACAGACAAAGAAATAAATTCAAAACAAAAATGTGAAAGAATATGAAATAAGAAATGTTACAATACAAAAATTACAATTGTCAACATTTTACAAATAATCCGATTAAGTAACAAAAAATCGATTTACTCTTAATTGTCTCAAGAGATATTTCTCACTCAGCAAAATAAGCGAACTTATATTGAGTGTCCCGCCACGCAATATCAATCAAGAGACATGAATATTGTTTGAAATGATTTGATCGTGAATAATACTCCGGCGTCATGAATTTTTATGCGCAAGCTACTCGAGACTGATTACTTAGGAATTTATAGAGCAAATTGTAGCGGTAATATGCAGATGTATCGAGGGGGTAAAAGTGAATATCGAATCGTGACGAGCATTGATAGTAACTGATTACCTATCAATCAGAATATTGCGCAATATTCCACGGTCACAAGTGGTTTGTTTCATTCTGCAATATTCATGAAACCATTAATTCGCGAGAAAAGATTCCGCTATCGAATGGAACACAAACAATTGAATCGATGGCTCGTGAATAATCAACATTGATTTACCGTTGCTTTTGTACCGCGAAATCTACTTATTTTTGTCGTATGATTCTCTGCATCTTGTAACATTTTAAACAGTGGGTGATCGGGTCAGGAGATGATAAAATATGATATATCAATTTGAGGAATTTGGCAGATTTAGGAAATTTGGGGATTTTGAGGATTTGTGGAATTTTGGGAATTTGGGAATTTCGGGGATTTTGGGAGATTTCTGGAATTTCGGTAATTTGGGAAATTTGGGGAATTTGGGCGATTTGGGATTTGGGAGATTTGGGATTTGGGGTGAGTGGAATTTGGGTAATTAGGGATTTGCGGTGAATGGAATTTGGTATGTGTGGAATTTGGAGAATTTGGGATTTGGGGTGAATGGAATTTGGGGAATTTGGGATTTGGGGTGAATGGAATTTCGGGTGAGTGGAATTTGGGGAATTTGGGAATTGGGGTGAATGGAATTTGGAGTGAGTGGAATTTGGGGAATTTGGGATTTGGGGTGAATGGAGTTTGGGGTGAGTGGAATTTGCGGTGAATGGAATTTGGGATTTGGGCTGAATGGAATTTGGGGTGAGTCGAATTTGGGGAATTTGGGATTTGGGGTGAATGAAATTTGGAATGAGTGGAATTTGGGGAATTGGGGATTTGGGGTGAATGGAATTTGGAGTGAGTGGAATTTTTGGAATTTGGGATTTGGGGGATTTGGGAACTGGGGAATTTGGGATCTGGAGTATTTGGGATCTGGGGAATTTGGGATATGGGGAATTTGGGATTTGGGGAATTTGGGGTCTGGGGGATTTGAGGAATGTTGGAAATTTAGGGAATTTGGAGAATTTGAGAATTTGGGAAATTTGGGGTATTTGTAAGACGAGAAATTTTTGGAATTTCAGAGATTTGGGGAATTTAGGGGATTTTGAGATTTGGTTACACAGAGATTTGGACATTTAAGAATTTGGGGGTTTAGCAAATTACAGATTTCGGTATTTCAAAAATATGAGAATTTGGAGCTCTACGAATTCCACAATATAAAATCTCAGAATTTTGAAAACGGTACAACTAAAACAAACGACTAAAAAATCGATACATTTGTAAAGGGTGCGAGTATCGATTCCCAGCACAGAATTCACGATACCATGTAACTTATCCGCGGTTCCAATGGTCACCAACGTTCCGTCAAAACATCTATTATTTTTGTTGTCCTTAGAAAATCGAGTAGTTCAGAGAGGCTACAGGCGACGCGAACAATGCGGACCGTTCCCGTTTCAAAAGGACCCGTGCAAATTCGACGGAATATCGAGTTGGCAGATATCAATGGGGATGGCCAGGCCACGTGTCTTGTCGAGGGGTCGAAATTCGGCCCAGATTCGAATGTAGGTCGGGTCACCTGCATCCGTACATCTCCCGGGGGTTAGGTTTGGCCGGTGGTGTGCTGCAGGATGCACACGTACAGGATGCACTTGCAGTAACGGTACACGGTCATACGTGACAACTGCAGCTGACCGTCACGCGTCGAATTTGAATTGATAATACGCGTAATTTCTGAACGGTCTGTTGGCATAAGGCCGTTATAACCGGGGAATAATTAATTACGATAGCGAGGTTCACCTGTTCTTTGATGTATGAACTCTTGTACATAATCACGGGTCAAGCGGCTCGTGTTTCGACTTTCGACAGGCTAGATTGCTGTCTCTTGTTTGCCAAAGTGATTTCTTTATGCTGTGGACTCTATAGCAATTATTTCGGTTAATGTTTTCAGGGGGAACACTAGTTAATTCTAGTGGGATGTGGGGTTGGAGATTTGGAAGATAGGAGGAGTGGAATTTGGACAGGAGTTTCGGCGGTGGTAGTGATGGGTTTGAAATTTGGAAATTTTCAAATCCTCAAATTGAGAAATTCCTGAAATATCATAGCCCCAGAATTTCTAAGCGTTAAATCTCCACACCCCCAAGTCCTCAAATCCTCAAATTTCCATATTCTCAAATATCTAAATCCTCGAATCCCTAAATTCTCAAATTTCTAAACCACCGCTCTAAATTCCCAAATTCCCCAGCTCCTAATTTGCTAAATGCCCCACCTAGGACTAATAGAATCTTCAAACCCTCAAACCCGAAATTCCAAACTTTCCTTCCCCAAATTTTGCGAAAACTCGAAAATGGCGACACAAAATTCCAGCAGTCGTTAACACTGTAAACGTCGTTAATCTTCTTCTCGAATTCTCTCCGGTTCATTGGAAGTTTCTCGGTTCCCGGCGCGAAAAGGTTAAGTAAAGCGAGGGGCCAATCATCCAGCCACCTTTTCCCGTGTTCTACCGTGTTCTACGTAAACGGGGACATTCGCTTCGAATCAGGGGTTGGCGTATCGCGGATGGAATACGGCGAAGCAGCTTCAAAAGTTGCCAGTTAAACGACGGAGTTAACTTCGTTTCGTTGTTTGCGCGAACCGCAAATTTCCTCCAGTTACTCAGAGCCACGGTGCCGTTATAATCACGCGGATGTACGTGTTACCAGGCCAGGAGAGGGTAGTCGTCCCGTTTCTACTCGCGTGACAACTTGCTCGCTATACGCCGCGTTCCTGATAAAGGATATAGGGAAACACGCTGCAACCGACGTTCTCTATGTTAGTTCTCGTCGGTGTCTACACTACTCTGTCTTTCCGACGGAGATGTAGTTTCAATAGAATTATATTGATAAGGAAGCTGCTTTGGGGACAGTAATTGGATGCGAGATATGCTGCATTATCGTCGTTGTTTTGTACTCTGACTATAAGCTTCTTTTATCTTTGATGATTTTTTAAGGTACATGATTTATGCATCTATGTAAAATGTTCACAAGTAGCATATGCACATATGTGGATTTATACATATATGTACATATTGTATTTTGTATATTGTGTGACTGTATTTGATTTATACATGATAGATACATGATTTATGTATCTACGTAAGATGCTCACAAGTACGCATATGTACATATGTGTATTTGTACATACACATATGTGTATATGTACATATTGTATTCTGTATATTGTGTGACTGTATATTTTTTTTTTAACTGAATTATAAAGATGAAATGATTTTTACAATCTGAGAATTTTAATATTTAAAAATTTTTTTATATAGTATCTGATAATTTTTATGACATTTAAAACATTCAAATTTTGTCTCACACATGATGTGTACATGATAACATGAGTATGTGTGTGAACATATATATATAAATGATTAATGAATTGTTGAACCTGCAAACGAATTTAAAAGACAATTAATCTAGCTAACAAATGAATGTCCATGTCCACATATGACTTAAAAAATGCATACAAATGTACATTCAAAAATATACACATATGTACATATTGATTGTATTTGAACAAAAGTTGTGTTCAATAATATTTGAGGAATTATTATGTTTGGTTATTATGTTTGATCAAGCTAGAATTTTGAATTTCATTTACCTATAAGTCTAATCGGTTAACGTCAGTTTAAATCGTGATGAAGACACAACACGTAAGACGCGTTAAGAGTAACGCGATTTCCAGCTACCAGCGATGTTTCATATTCAAGAACAATTAAAACTAACAAGTTGGCATTGCGACTCACCTCCGAATTACAGATCTTGTATTTCGTGCTCCATGATCTGCCCTTGCACGGTTTCCTCCTGCATCGTTTCTGCTGACGTGAAATTCCACCACCGCAGCTTCTGCGAAGTGGGACAAGCGCAATTAAAAAAAAATGCGAGAAATAACAATATATGCATGTACTGTAACAAGCAACATGCATGAAACTTCCGACAGTGTGCCACAGGAGCGCGCGTAAGAAAAAAATATGGGACCATGTGTGTACTCGCTGGTACTCGGTGATACAAGGCTGTAATGTATTATAAATTTGCGTATTAGGGAGAGCAATGTCGATATGTATTACTGCGACAAAATTCGTGTGGCTCGTGTTGAAAATTTGACAAATCAAAAATTCGCAAGATCATTCAGTACATTAACCGGTAAATAATTAATTTGGGTGTAACGTGATGAAAATTTACGACCTGCGCGTAATTTACTTCGCTGGACTCTTTCATATTTTAGGAGCTAGGTTATGTTTGGATGATTTATAATTGTGATGTTGATATTTTGGGATTTTTTATGGTTTATTTGGTGGTCTGGGAATTTAGAGATTTGGGGAGTCAGGGTGATGAGGTGTTAGGGATTTAGGGATTTAGGGATGGGGTATTTTGGGATTTGGGGATTTAGGGATTTAGGGATTTAGGTATTTAGGGATTTAGGGATTTAGGGATTTAGGGATTTGGGGGATTAGGGTGGTGGGGTTTTACAGATTTAGGGATTTAGGGGTGGAGGAATTTGGGGATTTAGGGATTTGGGAATTTAGGGATGTAGGAATTTGAAGATTTAGGGAATTGGAGATTTGGAGATTTAGAGATTTAGAGATTTAGAGATTCAGAGATTCAGAGATTCAGAGATTCAGAGATTCAGAGATTCAGAGATTCAGAGATTCGGGGGATTAGGGTGGTGGGGTTTTACAGATTTAGGGATTTAGGGGTGGAGGAATTTGGGGATTTAGGGATTTGGGAATTTAGGGATGTAGGAATTTGAAGATTTAGGGAATTGGAGATTTGGAGATTTAGAGATTTAGAGATTTAGAGATTCAGAGATTCAGAGATTCAGAGATTCAGAGATTCAGAGATTCAGAGATTCAGAGATTCAGAGATTCAGAGGTTTAGAGTCTTAGAGATTTAGAAATTCAGAGATTCAGAGATTCAGAGATTCAGAGATTCAGAGATTCAGAGATTCAGAGATTCAGAGGTTTAGAGTCTTAGAGATTTAGAAATTCAGAGATTCAAAGATTTAGAGATTTGAAGATTTAAAGATTTAGAAATCTATGTATTGGGTGATTTGTTGATTTGGATATCTGGATTTGGAGATTTGTAAATCTAAAACTTGGTGCATTTGGAGATTTAAGATTTTTAAGTTTGTCAATTTTAAAATTCAAAAATTCAGAACCCAAAGAATCTTACATTAATCAATACGTCAATTCTTAAACACAAAAATTCAAAATTTCTAATTCCGAAAAACTACGACAAAATTCTAAAATACGAAAAATCAAGAAACACCCCAGATCACAATCGCACACCCACCACGTAGCGCATTAAAATTGCTACGTGCTTATGTCGCCCCGCGTTCTCTATCACGTAAAAGGAATAACTCACCTAATATTTCAATCAGTATCGTCGGTTTGTATGCTAGTATCGCGGATATTTAAAGCGGCGATCGTAAATCGGTTGGCGCGCGGCGACAGCGTAAAAGAAGAAATTTTAATAATTGTATCGGGGAACGCGAACGAAGATTTAGAAGGGGCCGCGGTCGTAGCGTCGAATGTACGGCACCGTACATCATACAATAAGCTTCTCGGGGTGCAGTTCACCAGTAGTAAGGGTCATAAATTATTCGTTGGCGCAGTGTGCGCCGTTTCTGGCCGGTTGAAAAACGAGCTGGCCGCTCGAGCGGTCGCCACCGGAACTCCACCGACGTCGAAATGAGTTCTGAAACGTTTAACATTCCACGACCGCGTCGGCGCCGCGACGCGACGCGATATCCGACATCTCTGAACGTTTCGTTACTGTATTGCGAAAATCGAACCTGCCATTCCTGCAGAAAACACCCGCTATCGATGTTTCTACGCCAAATCACTGACATGCTTTTAATTCACGAAGCAGTTATTTTTCGAAGCTTAAACTCTTGCGAATCTTTGATATTGTATTTTAGTTCTTGATATACAGGGTGGGAGATAGTTGATGTGATTCTGAATAAGATTTCTCTTTGTAAAAATGAGGTATGAAGCTTCGTTTTTGAATTATTAAGGAAACGCGGGCTAATCAGAGCGTGAGATTACGCGCAGACGTGAGCGACAGCATCGAGCCTAAAAAAATTTATATTCCATAATATAAATTACTTCGAAATTACGGAGTGTGGAGTTATGGAGCGTGAAAATTACGGCGCGGGGAATTATGGCGCGTAGAAATTTCGGCGCGTGGAAATACGGCGCGTAGAATTATGGCGCGTGGGAATTACGGCGCGTGGAAATACAGCGCGTGGAAATTGCGGAGCGTGGAATTATGGCGCGTGAAAATTACGGTGTGCGGTATTATGATGCGTGGAATTATGGTGCGTAGAAATTTCGATGCGTAGAAATACAACGCGTGGAAATACGGCGTGTGGAAATTACGGATCGTGGAAATTACGGCGCGTGGAGGTACAAGGCGTGGAATTACGGCGCGTGGAAGTACAAGGCGTGGAATTACAGAGCGTGGAAATTACGCGTGGAAATTACGGAGTATAAAATTATATTCCTTAATAATTCAGTAACGAAGCTTCAAACCTCATTCTTGCGTGATGAGCTAAATCTGACAAATAAATTATAGTGCACGAGGTTAAACGGATCCATCGAATTAAACATACTTTTCAACGATATGATAGCGCCAATAGAGTATAAATATAATTTAACGCCAATTTAATACGCCAATTTCGAAATGTAATATGAAGCGCTAATTTAACATCAAATTTAATGCGCGATAATTTAATATGATTTTAATGGAAGTTAGTAATTAACCCGCGAAAATTTCTCCCGTGTTAATTTCAATTAAATCATTTAATCTAAATTAAGTTCCACAAAGAAATGTATCAAGAAAAAGAAGTACTTATATGATGAAATCGTAGAGATCCAAAATAAATTGAAACGGTTAATTAATCAGAAAGAAGTGGTTTTCGAGCAAGCTTCTAATTCAGCAGTAAAATCGCGGGTAGGTAATTACCCTGAAAACCTCGCGGAACAATTTCATTTATGAATCGTTAATAAAATTTATCCGTTATATCCGCGGATGCGTGAAACGCAACGGGGAGATCGCGTCAGCGAAATTGGATCATGAAGTGCTTACCTCGAGCAACTGGACCATTTTGACCAAGGTGACCATTCGCCCCACGTGACACTCTGCAAGCAGAAAACAATTTGTCACGCGATTAAATTGTCTAAATAAAACGATGCTCGTCCGGCAACACGCGGCACCGTGCACGCCTGTTTATCATTCCGCGCAAAAATTCGACATTCGATTATTCCGCGCGTCGAATTAATCCGAGATCGTATTTGCAGAACGCCCGCACGTTTTCCGCCACCCCTTTTCACCCCCCTCTGCGTGCTACTTTTAATGAAATTGGAGAATCCATCGCGAGCGAATAAATTCGTTAAAACGCCGCCAATGCTGTAGAAATATTCGATAGGTAATTGAATCGACACTCGCGAAATTGTTCGACAATTAATCTATGTAATAACAAATTTCCATCCCTGTCTCGCGTTTCTGCGAAATTATTGTTTTTCTCCGGAAATTGTTCATATATCATGTGGGAGTTGTTTTAGAAAACAAAATGTAACGTAGAGTTATAGGAATTTAGAAATATAAGGATTCGTATTGAGATCTGGAAATATAGGATCCATGGACATTGAAAATACTCTACAACACACATTATTATTATTTCATTAATATTATTTCACTACTGCAAACTCAACCCTTAATAACATTACTATAAAAATTCCACGCCTTGTACTACACGCGCCGTAATTCCACGCCTTATATTTCCATGCGTCATAATTCCACGCGCCGTAATTCCACGCACCATAATTCCACGCGTTGGATTTCCACGCACCGCAATTCTCATGCGCCATAATTCCACGCGCCGTAATTCCCACGTGCCATAATTCCACGCGCCGTAATTCCTATGCGTCATAATTCCACGCGCTGTATTTCCACGCGCTGTAATTTCCAAGCGCTATAATTCCACGCTCCGTAACTTCTACGCGTCGAAATTGTATTTCTACTGTTAATTATTAATATTGTCAGTAACTAGTAATTAATATAATTGCAACGTGTCCCATAATACATGACCATAGTGACAACATGTGTTAACCACTAAAATAAAAATAAAAAAAAAGAACATTAAAAATTGAAAATGAGAAATCGTTGTAATAAAAGACACTAGATGGCCCTAGATTTCCTTAGATTTAAAAACCATTACTTTTCCTACATACTGTATATCTGTAAGAACAAAGAAAGAGCGTATAGCCATCCACTTTATTCCCATGGATTCTTAAATGGCCGTGTACGAGATTGCAGCAGTCCCTTCGTTCCTCTATGAAATACCCAGACAGGAATTCAACTCGACAAGCTCTCGAGCCGACCGGTAAAAGTGAATTTTCGAAATCCGCTCGGTTCGGCCGCGGACGTGCCAAGCATTTCACGCGGTTTCTGCAGCAGCGCCGAAATTTTTATCACGTCTCACGGCGAACTTATTGCTCCGAGAGGGATATCGATGTACGAACGAACCCCCCGTATCCGCTTCACGGACGAGATTTTTCTATTTCCACGGAATGACGCTAAATACTTTGATGTATCGTCGTTCTTACTCGACGTCGCATTTATCAAAGCGTCTCCTTCCCGCGTTTCTTCGGAGCCGTTCGGGTGAATCCACGAAATGAAGCTTTTAACACCCTTTTACGTCGCTTCGAACTGGGTCAGAAATTTGATGAAAACTAAATGAAATTCTAACGTTAGACACTTTTGAAATTGATTGTTAATTTTTATTGGAAAGTTGTATTACAGCGCTTGGAAATACAAGGCGTGGAATTACGGCGCGTGGAAGTACAAGGCGTGGAATTACGACGCGTGGAAATGTTGCGTAGAAATTTCGAAGTGTCGAATTACGGCACGTGGAAATTACAGCGCATGGAATTATAACTCGTGGAATTATGACATAGAGAAAATGTAACGCGTGGAATTACGACGCGTGGAAATTACAGTGTGTAGAAATTTCGAAGCGTGGAATTACAACGCGTGGAAATTACAGCGCGTGGAATTATAATGCGTGGAATTATGATGTAGAGAAAATGTAACGCGTGGAATTACGACGCGTGGAAATTACGGTGCGTAGAAATTTCGAAGCGTGGAATTATCATACGTGGAATTATGACGCGCAGAAAATATATCGCGTAGAAATTTCGACGCCTGGAAATAAAATTTGTACTTGTTCAAAGTTTGCCTATATTTTTTTTTCAATCGATCACTTATACAAAATTTATTTTATCGGTATAACTACGAGTACTATTTTTATTTTGTTGCACTACTAACAGAGATGTCAGTTTACCAAACTGAATTCAGTATTTTTCTATTTAACAAAGCTTGTCATGTACACGTTCTAACGTAATTAATGAATAATCGTGGAGATCACTGACCGAGTTCGAACATTTGATGTAAACGAACGATAACAATTAGGGTCGAAAAATCGTTTAATAAAAAAAGCGTGACAAAATGGCTCGCAAAAATATTAAAAAAGAGAGGAAAACCAGTGGTCCAGTTGGAAACTGGAAAGTGAAACGTGATATTGGAGGAATGGATTTTTCGAAACGCCTGCCGGAGCGACCACTTGATAACGAAGTTTGTTTAGTTATTATTCTGAATTGGATTTCAACTCTTTTTTTAGAGAAGTCCGAATTTTTTTCTCATAGCGTGCAATTTTCGATTGTAATGAGAATTTCGAATTGAGATCGAAAGAAAACGAATAAACGAACGCTTTCTGTAGGAAATTTAAAAAACTTAATCAACCGATATATCGGTGGACGAAAATTGAACTGTTTGTTGCAGATGTGTTATCAAATTGGGAAATATTCCGAAATTCTTAGATCTCTATATTTCTAGATTATTTGTTTTAAAACTTCACTAGTTTCATAACATTTCTATTGTTATATTTCTATCTGTTGTATTTCTGAACATAACCTATACTCGTTTAATTTCTGTACATAACCTATACTCCTCATATTTCCTCTAATTAAAATTAATAAACGTGAATATATATAAAGTTATAAACATTGTTTAGCTTTACAATAAAAAATAAAAGAAAAATAGTCAGTAAGAAAAGTGGGAGTAAAATGTTAAAAACCGCCATTGCGAAAATATGAAATATACTTCTCCTTCGATTTCTCTTTTCCCGATAATGAGCCGCTGTATCGGCTTTCAACCGAGAGAAAGAGCAGCAAGAGTTCCGGCAATTAATCCCTTTTATCCGGCCAACGTTCTCTGCGCGAAAGAAAGAGAAAAACAGGATAACGTGAAAGAAAGAAAAACGGTAACGAAAACTACGAACCAAAAATCGAGGGAAAATATAAAATGATATAAAAGTTGCAACGGTTATGGAAAACGCCATTGAAAGAGGTGTACACGAACAAAAGTGATCGAAGTAAAGAACAAAGAACCTGGTAGAAGCTCGACGTTAATGGCCATCGGCAGTTTTCATCCCCTACGTGGAAATTTATTTTGGAGACTAGTTTCTAGCCGATGCGATGTTTGAACTCTGCTCCTGTATCCTTTTTTCGCTCTTTTTATCGTGTACACAGGTGGTATTATGTTGGCTGTGCCCCGACCCCGACACGAAAGTGGCGATCGAGGGTAATGGGCGATAATTTCACGCTCGAGCAAATTATAATGACACGGATTCGAGAGTGTGTGCACCGCGAAATGAGATGTTCGTTAGGTTAACGAGTTTGTTTTACAAATGATTGCGCGTGTATCTTGTATTTTTACGACCGGTAATTTATATCCTACTTTATTTCCGGAACGAATTAACGCGTTATGCTTCAGTGACGCACCGCTTGCGTCGTACCTGCGAGGAAATTGAATCGTGTATTCAAGGAAGGTCGTATGAAAAATAATTTTAAATTGAATGTGGTTTAAACTCTGTTCATTTCATTTGTCTAATTATAAGATAGTAAAATACGTTCATATATGTTCACATGAGTTCATATATTTAATATACGTTCATATGTATAATAATATATGTTCATATGTACAAGCTTATATGTCCATGTGTACAAACGTATAAGTTCATATGTATAAGCTTATATGTTCATATATATACATATATATGTATATCATATGTATACATATACATATCATACGCATATACATATGTTCATATATATAAAAAGTAAATTATGAATATGAATACCTATGTTTTCACATGCATGTAACAGACATTTAATTGTCAAACGATTTCAAGTAATAACTTTTCGAGTAATAACTGATTTGAAAATTTCGTTCCGTTTCGACTCTTTGCAAATAACTGTTGCATTTCGTTATAATCCTCTTAAAGGACGTTTGCAATTACGAATTCCTAATGAATAGGATTAATGACTATTTACCACTACGTGTTTCGAGTGTACGCTTCTTTCTTTGTGTATTGTCTATGTACCTTCAAGATGGGAATCGCTTTCGTTTGCAGATGACTTTAACAAATATTTCATTATAAAATTCTAGGTATCATAAATAAAGTATAAATTGTATATACATTTTTTATTATCTTCATACAAGTGAATGTCCTTGATATAATATTCCATTTTATAAATTTATTTAAGATGACAATATGGCCGACTTTGAGGTTATGTCAACCGTATTAAAACAAATTATTATTAAACACTATTAATTATTAAAACAGCAACTGAAAGCTTATAAACTTATACAAAAGAAAGATTATAAATATAAAAGAAATATTTCCTGCACATTAACAATCTAATATGTCTAATATTTTATTAAAAAACTTAAAATACACGAATTTGAACCTACATTATTTGAGACATAATATTTGTGTTAGGTGCACCAAAGGTTAATAAAACAAACACAGTTGCTACATCAATCAATAAAAACTTGATTTTTATTCAATTTCTATATGACACGAAATTTAAAAAAATATCGGTGACAAATATTTTCTGCATCGGCAAACAACCATGATGAAGTGGCGCAAATAGCCCAATGCAAATCGTGCTTGTTTAAATGAGAACTTTCATCGTGTACACAGCTTGTCGAAAATTTATTTGTTTACATTACATTCGGTGGAATACCATTTTCAACTTTAATTTTGATAACTATTTTCATTCATGTTTATTAAAAA